TTTTACATTTGTTGTAAATGCAATTATTTGAATTATTAACAAAAATAAAAAAATAATACAGTATAGCAAGTTAAACAGGTTACAACAACTAATAATAACTCATGAGAACGCATTCTGGCTGGGAGATTTCTTACATTTTTATTAATCTTATTTTCTCAAAATGGTGTTCCATGTGTGCTTTTGTCTTACCTTTATTGCAGCTTTCTACATGCTCAGGAAAAATAAGCATGTCTTTTACAAACTCAGGATTACCAATGGGACGGAAGAGAGGGGAGCCATTCCTGATGTGAGGCAGAGGCCTAAGACACATGAACAAACATGCACAGAAAAAAAAAGCATACAGCTGAGACAAAATAAACGCAATAAACTACTCACTAATTGTTAATTAAAGAGGTAATACTTAGGAAGTGATCTAGGAAACGTGGCGATATTTTTGAAGAACGCTGGTAACCAGACAGTTGCTGGTAGCCACTGACTTCCATAGTATTTTTTCCTTATAATGGAAGTCAATGGCTACCAGCAACTATTTGGTTACCGACGTTCTTCAAAATAACTTCTTCTGTGTTCAACAGAAGCAAGAAACTCATACAGGTTTGGAACAACTTGAGGTTGAGATGACGGCATCATTTTAATTTTTGGGTGAATTATCACTTTAAGGTTACACTCTCAGAAAAAGAAAAAAAAAAGTAACTGTAAAAAGTTTCAGTACATATGACGTGCAAAACAGTTCTGACAGCGGAAATCAGTCAGCTATTTCCTGTGTTTGTGTGAAGAATGACAGAAGACTAAACCAAGTGCTGTAAACTGTACAACTACTTGCCATCTATAATACTTCATATATCATAGGCATTCAGCAAACATGCAGTTACATAATTTCGGAACTATGTAACAGCATGTTTGCTGAATGCCTGGAAGTTATTGATCATATTGTGAGCAAATTTATCCACGCAAATGTTTCATTTTTTTTGACCTCGTAATTTTTTAAACAACTCAATTTTCCATTGAAAAGACAGACCTCTCTGGTGACCGAACACTTGGGTATTTTCCATTATATTTTCACTATTATGCCACCTTTATATTTAGAGCTTTAACAAAACAACCTGATACAAAAGCTTGGGCTCTCAGTTGTTTTGCACAATGATAAACAGCTTTACAGTTCGTACCTCAGATATTCAGCTAAAAAAACCATCCGTTTGGTTTTGTTTATCATGTCTATCGCGTTGAAATTGTGCATTTTAAACCATATTAGTTTAAACTTCTGATATCGGGTTTTCTGAGCACACACGCACATAAAGCGTCTGTCACACGGCATGAGAATACTAAACTAAGTTCTCTTTCATGGCTTATTGCGCTTAAACTGTCAAATACACACAAGTTTACGTTTAAAACATGCATGCGTTACAAAAACAGTGGGTTATGTCTGTGAAGGTAAACAGCTGGGAAATAAATGGCATGTTTATATTAGATCTGTGTGGCAGCAGCAATATACAGTAGCCTAAATCAATCAATAAATACACTGCTCTCTTGTCTCCTCTGAGGCTGGGACTCTAAATAGTGTTCTGTGCTCGTCAGTGCAGCCAAAGGCAGAACAGTTAGCATGCTTTGCTTGAAATTTTGCCATGGTTCTGCGTGTGGAAACGTGCAGATTAAGGGGCGGTGATATTATAAGATCCCCTTTCTACGTCACGGCTGGAGCGAAATCTGAACGGCTCGTTATTTTTTCACAAGCTTACAGAGAAAGGCTTAGCAAAAAATATCTACTGGGTTGTTCTTTTTCACGTTTTCTGGATTGGTAGATGCACCGGGGACACGATTATAGCACTTTCATGATATGTCACCTTTAACTTGATTTAGTAAAATAACATCGTAGACATTTACAAAAAAAAATAAAAAATGAAAAACACACAAAAACAAAATAAAAACAAGACGGCATGTATGAGTACCTGTCATTTGGTCTCCAGAAGACTGTCTCGAGGGGAATGACTTGTTGTCGTCCTTGCGTATCATCATAGATTTTCTTGGCAGCAGATGTTGTTTCAGTAACCACACAGTCCATGTCTCCCAGAATATGCCAAGAGATCACCTTCGCTGCATCATCATCCTCCACCTGTGCCAGATGACCCACCTACAAATCATCACGCGCAAACATCACCACATCAACTAATATGTCTTTGGAAGAGTCCTCTGATTCTCATCATGTTTGGATGAACGTCCCCTTCATCCCCAGACCCCAGTTTGCCTAAAAACCTAGAACACAAAACCCCAGATTTGTGTTGTTTGTTTGCTCCAAGCAACTTTGGGGCATTTAAAAGTATTTACGTTTTTTTTTTTTACATTTCCTAGTTATGCATCATGAATGTGAGACCAAACCTCCCTATTTTTGAATTCAACAAGATAGATGCAGACAGATTTGTTTTAAATGGGTAACAAACGTCACATGCATTTCAGATCACTATTAAAATAGTTTTGTTGTTTAATTCTTTTTTTCAGCAACTCTTAAACTGTACTGGGTTCACGATTGCTTTTAAAGAAATAGAGCTTGCAGCAATTAAACAGAGTACATGATTTGGTAAATCAAAATTATGGATGAAACGCAAAAATTGTGACATATGAAGTCATAATCATGTTTTAGTAATAAGCAATTTCAGCTTTGTCAATTATGACTTTTTGTGTCATAATTTGTCAAAATTTGAGTTTTTGTCACAATGACTTGTCTCTCAGTTTCAACTTGTCATGATTGAATGTTAAAATTAAGACTCAATATGTCAGTTTTGACTGTCATAATGTCATGTAAATTATGACTTATGTATATAATTTCAACTTATGTCATAATTGACTTAGTATGACAATTACTCTTTATGCCATACAATTTTGAATTTAACTTGTCATAATAATGACATTTTATGTCCGTTTCGATTTTTTTTTGGTGTCATAATTTTAACTTTTCATGTCACATTTTGTGTAAATTTTGACTTAGGACTTAGTATGTCATTATTTCGAATTTTTGTCATAATTATGACATGTTATGCTCGTTTCAGTGTATGTCATGATGACTTAAGTCATAATTTTGACACTTGGTATGTATTTTGACCTGACAAAGTCATTTTTCTTTCATATGGCAGCAATCTGGCCCAAATGCATCATATTCTACTACTGTTTATACAAATATATAAATATATATATATATATATATATATAGAGAGAGAGAGAGAGAGAGAGAGAGAGCGAGAGAGTGCTGTCAATCGATTAAAAAAAATTATGAATCCCTATATTAATTGATAGCAATTAATCCCACCTAACATTAAAGTTTTTAAATCTACTTTTATATATTGCAATAATTTCACATTCAATCTCGAAATTAATGTAGAAACAACATGTTTAATGGCATACTAATACTACTGATGACTCTAGGAAATTTTAATTTTTTCCTAATATTTAACCATTGACTATAGCCAATCAACATTACAGTATAATTGACAGCTATCGATTTTAACATTTATTAGACTTTAAAAAACAGCCTAAAACTTCTAATATAAGTGAACTTCTTTACATAAAACAATCTTCACAGGAAACCATTATAATAAATGTCATATTTACCTCTGCCCTTCAGCAAGTAGGAAATATACAAACATTTAATAAAGTTATCAACATTGAATTCTAAATTAAATATAGATGACTTCTTAAAGCTACAAAAGTTATTTTTTTCTTGTGTTCTTTGATTAGCAGACGTCACCGAAGCTGGGTTGTTAAGGTTCTTTGGCTGCTATTACTTTAAGAGCTGCCGCTGCTGAACATGACGCGGATCTGACACGCATGCTCGTAGTTCATTCGCACTTTAATATGAAATGATACAGGCTACAGCACGCGTTATAACGGCTGACAGGACAGGAAAACTTGTTTTTACTGACATATAGCCTGACAATATCTCATCTGGGTGTAGTTCACTGTTGTTCTACTGAAGCTCCTCGTTACTTGTACCATTTCCGCGCTCATTTGAGCACCTGTCACTGATGAAGTCTAAAAAGTCTAAATAAATGCAATTCTTTTCAAGAAAAAAAAGAGACCGAAGCAGCAGTTGTGAGTGGGGTGGCCAACCCTAGCTCTGCGTTAAGTGAGAATAAAATATTTTTAACTTTGTTAAACTGGAAAAATTCATCGCCTGCGTTAACGCGCTAATTTTGACAGCACTATGCGACCCTGGACCACAAAACCAGTCATAAGGGTACATTTTTTTTAAATTGAGATTTACATGATCTGAATAAACAAGCTTTCCATTGATGTGTGGTTTGTTATATGACATGACGATATTTGGTCGAGATACAACTATTTGAAAATCTGGAATCTGAGGGTGCAAAAAAATAAAAATACTGAGAAAATCATCTTTAAAGTTGTTCAAATGAAGTTCTTAGCAATGCATATTACTGATCAAAAATTAAGTTTTGATATATGTACGGTAGGAAATTTACAAAATATCTTCATGGAACATGATCTTTACTTAATATCCTAATGATTTTTGGCATAAAAGAAAAATGTATAATTTTGACCCATACAATGTATTGTTGGCTATTGCTACAAATATACCCCAGCGACTTAACACTGCTTTTGTGCTGCAGGGTCACGTATAATATATATAATATAATATATAAGCTCTAAATAAACGATTATTTATATATTTATCAGCTTACTGTAGTAAGGTGTAAATAACAAAGGTTCATAATTTTATAACTACTTCAGTGCAGTTACTCTTAAAATATTTTATTAAACAACAAAAACGTTAACACTTTTTGCAGTTCCTGGTACAGTCAAGGTGCGACCGCTTTTAGAAAAGCTTAGAAGGGTTAAAGGGATAGTTCAACCAAAAATAAAAATTCTGTAATCATTTCCTCACCCTCATGTCGTTCCAAACCTGTATAAGTCTCTTTCTTATGTTAAACACAAAAGAAGATATTTTAAAGAATTTTGAGGAAGCAAACCGTTGTTGGTCCCCATTGACCTCCATAGTAGAGAAAGAAATACTATGTGGACCCATCAACTGTTTGCTTACCAGCATTCTTCAGAATATTTTCTTTTGTGTTCAATATAAGAAAGAAAGTCAAACAGGTTTGTAACGACATTAGGGTGAGGAAATAATTACAGAATTTAAATTTTTTGGGTGAACTATCCCTTTAAGCAAAACATGGATTGAATTGTGACTCCGATATGAATCTCGACACATTCTGAGAGACTCACCCTTGTGGTTTCAAGCAATGTGTCAAAATAAAAGACTAAATCGGGCGACTCACGGTAGAGGGTGGATAGGAGCCTGATACCGTGCCCTTCCACAGCAGCATCGAGAGGTTTGCAGGGCAGATGTTTCTCACCGGTGTGCCATCCTCAGAAATCACGATCACTGTAAACACTAAAGACACCAAAAAATATGATATGCACACTAATCTATACTGAGGTTACAATATAATGTAGGCTTACATGCATCCACACACACCTGGGAAAATGTCCCCTGCACGTAAGCTAGCAGCACTGTCATATTTAATAGAGAGTTCGACGGGTTTGTTGGGGTCAGGAATCAAGTTTAATTTTACTACAGGTCCAGGAATCCCCTTCCTGCCAAAAGTCCCCCGAAACTGCAACTGATGCACCCCTCTAGAGAAGAAAGAGACAGAAAGTGAAAGAGTGTGCTTTTGTTGAGCATCACATTTGATGCATCAGGCTTTTAAGACTCATATACTGATATAGTGAGAATATGGCACTTAGTTTTATTCAGAGGTCCAAACACATGCAATTTGGTGCAGATGCTGATATTTATGTGGCTAAAAAGTAAGATGAAATTCTGATTGTGATGTAAATCAATGAGATTTTTATAACAGTGCACAAAATGATATAAACCTCCGTCATCACTCTGTAGCTCCCAATAATACATCTTAGTAAGATGATATTTGCTCAGTTTATTGTCCTCATTTGTAAGTGATGACTAAATGTAAATGTAGTTTTATGATCAAAGCTCTGTAGTTTCAAAACATAATGCAATGATGATTGAGAGATGAACTAGTAAACGTTCCTCAGAAGCCTGATGATCATATTTGATACTCTCATTTCAATATGACTTTTCTAAAAAATTATGTCTGGATCATTGGAAGTTGATTCAGTCCAATAGGTGTTCATACTGAAATATTACTAGCAATATCAAAATTATACTTACATTTGCTTTATAACAATCAGCAAAGATTTCACAGCAGAAAGACATGTGAAGCACGAGCTGAAGGTATTTAGTATACAATTACACTAAAGACCTTTTACTTGATACAAAGTTTGATCGTGTTGATCATTTAGAGGCCTTGGAAATCCATGTGTCAAATATAACACAGTAGGCTTTATAGGGTTCAGTATGTACTTACTTTGGACCACTTATAGTTTCTAATACGAAGCAAGCTTTTCCTTCTGAATCCACAGGCTGAGAAGATATTAAAGACTTTATCTGAAAGAGAAAAACAAAAAAGTATTAAAAATTGCATTGCTTCTAGTAGGGCATTAGCTCTTAAGTAAAAATTTAAAATAGAGTTTAGATTTACAGACAACACAGTAGGAACTCAATTTTGTTTTTGTTTTATTTCCGTTGCAATTTTTGTTCCAATGTGAAGTCATAATGCAGATAAACACAGTCTATAGGTCTAAAGCTGAGAAGGGGATGGATTTCACAATTTTATGTTTCATGTTCATGCATTCATTTTTTTTTTGATTGTTCATAATAAAGTAGTCAACATTTGAAGTGGATCAAAAAAGTTAATCAAAGTTGTCCTAAGACAACTGGTTTTGGGTTTTAGGACAACTTTGATGAAAGGTTTTGATCCACTTCAAATGTTGACTAGTGCAGATAAACCCTCTAACTTGTCAACATAATAATTAGATTATTGAGAAGTGATAACATTTCCAATCTTTTAGTGAAATTGCACTGGGTTTCTCTCCCTTATGTTTTACAGTGTATGTTAAAAAATTTACTTTTCAAGTACAGTCAAAAGTTTTTTTTTTGTGATTATAATGCAAAAAAAATGCCTCTACCACTAGCCTGCTATATTCTTTTTCTATTCTATCCGTTTTCTTATTATATCATTAAAAAAAAAACTTGCTATGTGTACCGCGTTAAGCTGAGACGTGTTATAGCACTCACATATCTTTGCTCTCTTGTTGATTCTGATTGCTTCCATTGTCCTCATTAGTAAGTCGCTTTGGATAAAAGCGTCTGCTAAATGACTAAATGTAAATAAATCCACAGACCTCTCTTCCCTCAAATGTACCTTCAACTTTGGCATCAGAGCCTTCATCATGATTTCAATCCGCTGGTCTGGTGAAGGATTTCCCCATTCGTCACACAGCTGCACGACCAGCGGAGCGTCCAAGCCCTGGCCATTCACGACCTGGAGAGGCTAAAGAGGCCAGCTTTAGTCAAACTCTTCTCCCGCATGAAATTCAGTGTTGGGGATGTGAAAATGTGACACACCATCTCTGGCTTCTCCAGCAGCTTTATCTGTACCGGAGGTCCCGCGGTGACTTCGATTCGCACAAATTCCATCATGTCCTGATACTTAAAGCACAACTCCCTCGGGCCAGGAGTTCCTCCTACGAACCGGACCCGGCATACAGACAACCGTCCACTGCTGGCCTGCAAAACAGCATACAAATAAATACACATGTTTGAATGAAAATAAAGACACATTTTTACAAGTACTACATGGTATGACAGTGTGTACACCATGCAATTTCTAAGTTACACTACAGGCAGGGCCCTAGTAAATCAGTTAAATTTTTTCCCAAATTCCTTGTTTTCAGTTTCAATTTTGTCTGGATTCCATTCTGATGGTTAAATGACATTTTAGTAATCAAAAAGTAATCACAAAACTTACACACATATAAACAACAATTTACCAAAAATTTAACAAAATTTGTAATTTTTCCCAAATTTCTTTTATCTCCCCCAAAATCTGTTTTATTTTTCCAAAATTCCATGTCTTTGTCTGAATTGTTTTAATTATTTAATTTTAATAATCCAAAACCCATGTCTAATCAATTGAATTCATAAACCTTCCTAATTCATAAACCATTATATTCAAAACATTATCCAAATATGTCTAAAAGATCAAACATAAATATACAAAGAGGCAGGCTAACTGCATTTCCTTGATATTATACATCAATATTAATGATTTTAAAAAATGTATCATCTTGTGCCATGTAGCACATAAAATGTTTGGATGGCAGATTATAAATCAAGTTTACATAATATAAGCCTCTTTCACACAGAGATTCATGTTACATAATTTTACTGATTTGCATGAGAAATTGGGCTTGTATGGAGGAGCGAAAGCGCACGGCTAGAAAGAACAGCAATGATCATATTTTTCTTGATTATTGTATTTTCATAATTGTTGGAGGCCGAAATCGAAAATGAAACTGTATTTTGATTAATTGCACTGCAATTTGATTAACTGTATATATATATATATAACATTTACTAACAAAAGCGAATTACAACACATGCTGTATTATACAGACTCTTAAATTGCACTAACCTAACCTAACCCTAGCAAACACAACCAACCAAATAAATACAAAAGCCGCCCACAATGTAACTTAAGCTTAGGTAAACAGCAAAAGTCAACAAGCTTTTCGAAGCTTTTTCGATACCGATCCGATACCCATTAATTTTTTTTTCTTCTTCTAAATCAATGCAGAATTTCTATAGCAGCTTTTTAATGAGGCAACAACATAGACAGGACAGAAAACAGACTCTAAAACGGTCACATTTGCGACCAAAAATATTAATTCACGAGCGATATTTTTGCTGAGATCACCACTGGCGACTATATAAATTCACATGTTATGATTTGAAAAATTGCATGTAATGCCTTTTTTCCCGATTGTTTTGCGATCACTGATTTTACTGAGCCATCTGTCGTAACTGAACATGACTGGGCTGTGAATGCTGAATGACTGACAGCTGCAACAGAGAGAAGAAGAGTTTACGTGAACTGTAATGACCGATATGGCAGTATAGAGGGCATCCCTATCAAAACCTGCTCATTTGCTTGTGTCTGTGGTTGTGTATACAGTACCTGCCATTCAACGGCCAGAGCTGATTTATCCAGACCATCAGCAGACACACTCAAAGTCTTCACAATATCAGCGTTCAGACAGTCCGTTTTATTCCCGTACTGATCAACAAGTTCTACATCTGAGAGAGAAACACAGGTTTTAAAACGGAATGTTTTTAACAAACACAAAACTGGTATGTGATCTACAAACAGAGCGTCTGTGTAAGCAAGGACACAATCAGTTTCAAAAGAAATTACATATATGACCCTGGAGCACAAAACCAGTCATAAGGGTCAATTTCTCGAAAAGCTGAATAAATAAGCTTTCCATTGATGTATGGTTTGTTAGGATAGGACAATATTTGGTCGGGATAAAACTATTTGAAAATCTGGAATCTGAGGGTGCAAAAAAATCTAAATATTGAGAAAATCATCTTTAAAGTTGTCCAAATGAAGTTCTTAGCAATGTTATTATTATTATTATTCATAATATAACAAATTTAATCAATATTAACAGTGAATCTTATTGTAAGATGTTACCAAATTTTGTTGTTATTGTTGGTAACAATTAATAATTTATAGCATTCATAAATGTAAGTATTTGATAACATACAAATATATTACTGACTGTGGTTATCATATGTTTGTTCATAAGATACCATAAACACAAATAAAAAACATAATATAAGCATAAGACAACCATTACCAGTAGTATTTTTGCAAACTGGAGCACAAAACCAGTCATAAGGGTCAATTTCTCGAAAAGCTGAATAAATAAGCTTTCCATTGATGTATGGTTTGTTAGGATAGGACAATATTTGGTCGGGATAAAACTATTTGAAAATCTGGAATCTGAGGGTGCAAAAAAATCTAAATATTGAGAAAATCATCTTTAAAGTTGTCCAAATGAAGTTCTTAGCAATGCATATTACTAATCAAAAACTAAGTTTTGATATATTTACGGTAGGAAATTTACTAAATATATTCATGGAACATGATCTTTACTTAATACCCTAATGATTTTTGGCATAAAAGAAAAATGTATAATTTTGACCCATACAATGTATTTTTGGCTATTGCTACAAATATCCCCCAGCGACTTAAGACTCCAGGGTCACATATAAAGAAACCTGGGAATTTTGTAATCACATTACGACTCGCTGATTTAAAGTCAAACCCAATTATGTCGTACCTAAAGATGATACTTACATACGTTTCCAGACAGAATTTCTCCCATTTTCACAGTCGACTCGCTGAGGTTGACCCGCAAACGCTCAGGCTCATCTGGACGAGGCCTTCAGAGACACACACATGCAGAGATATGCTTTTGTTTAGGTATATAATGAAAGACAGACAGACAGACATGTGATGCAACTGTGTGTAACTTACACAATGATGAAGGAAAAGTTGACCGTGTGCTGGTCGTGGAAAGACACGTGGTAGAAATGCTCTCTCTGTGCTTGAGACGGGACACTTAAAGGAGGCAGCTTTCCCTGAGAAAGCTCTTCTGCGTTTATATCTGCTGTCCAATTCACCTTCAAGAAACACACAAACACATGCACATCAGCAAATATTATTTTGATACTGTGCACAATATACACACTGCATGAAAAATATATTACACATAATAATAATATTGTATTTGCTATATTGTTATATGCAATATTATAAACCGTAAGATATAACATATAGCATTTCTGTATTTGTTATATTATTATGGTACATTATTCAATATATTAGATATAACAAACATAACATAATACAATACTATTATTATTATCATAATTATTATGCATAACAAATATAACCAACATTAACATATAGAAAATTCATGAAAAATTACATAATATTTTGTTGTTGTTCGTAACAATTATTTATAGCATTTATAAATACAGGTAATTGTTAACAAATATACTACTGATCATGGTTATCAAATATTTGTTCATAACGTAACAACATAAATACAAAAAAAAACATTTTGGTTGTTGTATGCTATGATACACAACATGTATATCAAATAAAATATTGTTATATAACTATATTATACAAATAAAATACAACAAATAAAATATTATTATTATTATTCATAATATAACAAATTTAATCAATATTAACAGTGAATCTTATTGTAAGATGTTACCAAATTTTGTTGTTATTGTTGGTAACAATTAATAATTTATAGCATTCATAAATGTAAGTATTTGATAACATACAAATATATTACTGACTGTGGTTATCATATGTTTGTTCATAAGATACCATAAACACAAATAAAAAACATAATATAAGCATAAGACAACCATTACCAGTAGTATTTTTGCAAATTAACATTTAGGGCCAGTTTTACGAAACGGCAGATTTGGGCGTGGAAATTTCTGCGGGTGATTTACTAACAACACGCAAATTAAACCACACAGATGCAACATCTCATTTACATATGCAATTTACCAAGAGCAGCGCAAATTAGCTTAGTCACGAATAAACAATAAAGGAATAAATATGAATGACCTGGTATTGCGTGACTCCTAGATGAGGGTTCCAAGTCGTCTTTTATTTCCTGAAGCAAATTAATAATATCATGGCTTGGCAAACGATATGTTCGGATAATGTGTTCTTTCCAAATAAATTAATACATGTGTAAAAATCTGTTCTCTGCAGTGCCTCTCCTAGCAACAAATTGCATCCATTTCAAGTGCAAAGACATGCTTTTTATGGGTGTTAAATAATGGCGCAAATGCCAGTAATTTGACGAGCACAAACGTTAGTAAATCTCGTAGCGTGATTCTTTTGAGTACTCTCCTCCCATAAATTTTGCGTCTGAAAGGGAAACTTCCAGAAATGCATATTCAATAAGGTCAGGTGCAAAAATCGCTGTGTCCACGCCTTTTCAGCGCTAATTCTTCACTGCGCGTCTTTAGTAAAACCTGACAGTACTATTTTAACGCCAAAAGACGGTTTGCGCGGGCGCAAGCTGTTAGTAAAACTGGCCCTAAGCAGATTCATAAATGCTATAAAAATTGTTAACTGTTACTTTATGACACCCACATCATTGATGAATGTTAACGTATGCTTCTAATTTATTTTGTGTGTTCGAATATTATGTCATAAAAAGGTTGTCAATATTGTTAAATCGCTCATTTTATTGTGACTCATTTTTTGGGGCTTCACTGCGCGTCTTTAGTAAAACCTGACAGTACTATTTTAACGCCAAAAGACGGTTTGCGCGGGCGCAAGCTGTTAGTAAAACTGGCCCTAAGCAGATTCATAAATGCTATAAAAACTGTTAACTGTTACTTTATGACACCCACATCATTGATGAATGTTAACGTATGCTTCTAATTTATTTTGTGTGTTCGAATATTATGTCATAAAAAGGTTGTCAATATTGTTAAATCGCTCATTTTATTGTGACTCATTTTTTGGGGCCGAGTATTACAGTATGTCAGTGCAAACAGATTTAGTCACTAAAAGTAAACCTTAATCATGCTGGTGAGTTTTGGCCGAAGGGAAACCAGTCTATTGCCCTCATCATACAGTCTGAAGCGCAGGTTTCCTAGCGCGTCTCCTGCCGTCCAATCAATGCGCTCGGCGTTCTGCAGCACCATGAGATCATCAGAGCCCTCTTCCTGTCTGTAGATCTCCAAACGGGATATTCGTGAGCTGGGCAAGACGCGGAGCTGGCGTTCCACGCACGCCACTGTCCTGTGGTTCTGCATGCACAAAACAACTCAAGTTAAATTATAAAATTAAACAGTCAATACACTTTACTTTTATGAAAGATTCATTAACAGTTAAACTCTGAGTTGGAGGCATGTAAGGTCAATGCAATTTTATTTATGGGGTCAAAAATTGAAAAAAGGAAACGTATGCACAGATGAATCATTCATTTGTAAAATAGATACGCTGTGGCTTTATACAAACAGCATGCTGATTATCTATATTTTATACACATAGCAAAGCAATCAACAAACAATTACGAGCACTAATTGAACTCTTATTCTGAACACCACACACTATTCTTAAAAAAAAGTGAAGAACAATTTAACAAAATAATTAATCACTACAAATCAAACTCTGAAATTTGAATTTAAAGTAGAAAAGACAGATCATTTATCAATACTTTTATATAAATATAAAATATATATTTTTTTTAATTGAAAAAAGGTCTAGTATTATTTGCTTCTAATATCAGCCAAATTGTACAATATTGATAAAACACTGATGGCAAATGCTTAAAGTCACAAATATAATGTGCATGCCTATTAAATATGCATTTTTTTGTATCTGGATTAAATGCACACAAAGCAACATGCATCTGAACATTAAAAGCTAAATAAATATTTCCATAATAATTAGGGATGCACAATATTATCGGAATGACTTCGGAATCGGCCGATAATGGTTTAAAATGTAAACATCGGCCCGATATGTAAAATTGTGCCGATATGTCTTGCCGATAAGACGAATAACTCACATGAGCACAGGGTGTACTAGTGATAAGATCAAGTCAGCATTGTGGTCATTCTTTAAACAATTTTTTGCCTGAATGGTGATTAGATTCACTGTTTTTGATCACTGCATTTGAACTGAGAATGCACGTCAGATAACGAGTTTTAATTCCCTAGGGGGCGCGGTTGGCCTACTTGTAATAAAATGAAAGTAAAATGCACAAATAAAATTAAGATTGTATTTCTGATTAAATAAAGCAATAACTGATGTTGTAAAATCAAGAGCAGGTTTTGAATTAAATGTCAGAAGATATAGCTTACATGAACAAACATGACACTTGTAAATTAAATAGATTTATTTATTAATGTGTAATATTTTTTCTTTTTTCAAACGAGCTCTGAAATGAACTTTAAGAATGTTTGCAACTCTTTATACCATCTACAAATGTTAAATCTTTAAATAAAACGTTAAGGTTACCACTGCAACCGTCTGAAAAGTGACTGATTTATAGTTTATTTATAATTATTTTCAAAGCTTTCAATGTACTCTCATTATAAAAGAACTTCATTATTGTTTGTTTAATTCTAACAAACAAGTTTTTGATAAAAACTAACTAAAATTTAAAATTATTTGTTTAGAATCTCTGCACAGGAAAGACTTGGTGTTGTTTCCAAACAAAAATAAATATTGGTATCGGTACCAATATCAATATAGGTATCGGTACCAATATCGGTATCGGTACCAATATAAATACGAATATACCAATATCGGCATCGGTACCAATAGCAATACCAATATCGGCATTGGTACCAATACCAATACCAATATCGGTATCAATATCAATATCGGTATCGGCAAAAACGAGTTGAAAAATATCGGCATATTGGATATCCGCAAAAATCCAATATCGTGCATCCCTAATAATAATATATTGGTTATACAGTAAATAAAGAGATTAAACACATAGCAAATGATGCATCTTACAGGAATGTTGAACTTAGCAGTAAGGATTTGCTCAGCGTTTACGGTCTTCAGCAGAAGTGGTTTGGTCAGCAGGAGTCCAGAGCCGGTGTTACTGCAGTCCACAACATCCACGGGCAGATCAGGGGCTCCCAGCAACTACAAACACACATTTACAATTCAAAAGATGAACTGTAGTTCTGTGCCATTCAATGGAAGGTCTTTCATAAAATTGAGTTAACAAAAGTTTAAATTAAATTAAACATGCAATAGGTGAAACATGCAACAATCATCCAAAAAATTTCATTATATATATATATATAAAAAAAAAGTGTTCTCAGATTCTATATAAACTTTTTAATGATATAATTGTTTATACTCCACATCATTGTAGAAATATAAACATTTAATCAGTGGCTGTAATTACATTTTGTCTTCATGACAGATTTATTCAAACATTAAATAATGAAGACAACATGTTAAGAAAAAATGTAATGAATATGTAATATAGTGGATATATTAATCAACATGCTCCTTTCTAGAGTTATTTTTTTATAGCTGACTATTGAGTTAAACTGATGAAGATGTATTCTTAATTTGCTGGTGCTTTTTCTATTTGCATGTTGCAGTGCGCTGAGCTCTCTCGGCCACCGTAATATAGAGATACAGATATATATATATATATATATATAGAAATATAGAGAATCCGTTTTATTTCAATCAAATGTGCAGCCACATCTATTTATTTTAGTGCTGTCACACTATTAATCGCATCCGAAATAAAAGTTTTTGTTTACATAATATATGTGTGTGTACTGTATATTTATTATGTATATATAAATACACACACATACAGTATATATTTTGAAAATATTTATATGTATTTACATGTATATATATATATATATATATATATATATATATATATTCACAAATTTTATATCATATATATTTAATATATAAACATAGCATATTTTTCTGAAATATATACTTGCATGTGTGTGTATTTATATATACATAATAAATATACACAGTACACTACACACACATATATTATGTAAACAAAACTTTTATTTTGGTTGCGATTAATCGCGATTAATCGTTTGACAGCACTAATTTATTTTGATTTTACATTCAGTTAAATTATTAGCTTTCCAACCAGTCGCGATCCCACACTTGAGAAACCCTGAGTTAATCTTTAAATGTTTTAATTATCGGTATATAAAAACGTATATAAAAACAATAGAAGTCTACAGCATGTCCCCAATTAGACAGGCTAATATGCATGCTAAGTAAATGTGTGTGCATTCACCAAATAAATAAAACTGCTAAGTCACTAAAAGTCAGTAAATACATGGTGTGTGTTTGTCGAGGAGTGCTACCTGGCAGCGGACAGTGAGTTTAGGCTGAGTGGTGATATTCTGGTACTCATCGTGAACCTCAACTCTGAAGTTTGCTGGAGTTCGATTCTCAACAGAGAGCACATCACTGTCTGGCAACACCACGAGAGTGTGCGGAGGGCCTGGAAGATAAATGTCACCTGGTTTTTAACATACTGCTTTATATTTCCTCTTTCTGTTGCAGTTTCTGTGTTGTTTGTCATACCAGGTTGCAATAGAATTTGAAGAGACTGACTGTCCTGCTTCAGTCCTGGGATGTGCACCTTCACTGTGTACATCTGTTAAAAATATCACACACATCCAAGTGCTGTGCTAATAGCGTCATTGCAAATATTAAAAAAACCCTTCATGCATTTTTTTAGCAAGAGCGTTCTCATAATACAGTATATGTTGGTTACACAATCATATACACCATATCAGTCAAATACAATCTTGAGCACAGATTTCAGAAATAAATCGAATAACTCTTTCTCTCTTGATTAACATACAAAGATACCTTCATGTTGATTATTTGTGATTAGTTTATGCTCTGAAGAAGCAGTGTTGGGTAAGTTACTCTAAAAAAGTAATTAATTACTAGTTACTAATTACATCTTCAACAGTGTAATTTCATTACTGTACAAATTACTCTCTCCAAAAAGTATTTAATTACTTATTACAAGTTACTTTCTAAATCCTATATCAACCTCGACAAGTTAATGATATAAGGATAGACATGAAACGGTTATTTTAATTCTTTCAAATAAATAATAGATAACTACATAAATTATTCTGGTCACACTTTAGATTAGAGTCGAATTATCACTATTAACTATGACTTTTACCTCAATATACTCCTAATTACTGCTTATTAATACTTTGTCAAGTAGTTGCTCAGTTTAAGAATTGGGTAGGATTAAGGATTTAGAATTGCAGAATAAGACATTAATATGTTTTTCTTAAGTAATAATAAACAGCCAATATCCCAGTAATATTCATGCTAATAACCAACTAGTTAATAGTGAGAATTGGACACTAAAGTGCTACCAATATTCTTATTAACTCACCAAAGTATTTGAAGTGAGAAGAGTACATGAAAAGCATGCACTTTAAATTTTGATGTTAAATCCACTATTGTATTGAATATAAATGTTCTACAGTCTATACGCAGTTTTAAGTTCAATCACATAACTAATTAAATTACAGAAAAAATAAGAGTAAACCCTTACTTTACTTTCTCAAGGGAAAAGTAATTAAATTACAGTAACTAATGACTTAATAACTAATTACACCCAACACTGGCTCTGATTAATTCAAACACTTCAGTTATTACGGTTTAACTCAACATTTGAGAATCATGACCATCTGTGATTATTGTGAAACTATATGCAACACACTGCCAACCTTGTTTTGATGACTGATCTTTCCCATGGCCCTCACATTTTTGATGACACAAGTGGTCCCAAATGCGATTCCCTCATAACTTAGCTGTAGTGAACTAATGAGAGATTTTACCATCAGAAAAACGCACAAAAACTATACTTCCAAGATTGAAATTCACATTCATGTGCATATGAAGTGAGTGCATTATTCAATATGATTTTAAATGCGACAATTTTCTGCAAATAAAATTGTTACAAACAAAACCACAACAGAATGAATCATTGCACATCTCCAAAAAAAACGCATTAGCAACATTTCTGTTTATTAAAGAATTGGTTGAGTGAATAATTCAATGACTCACACATAAAGATAGTCAATTATCATTAACCCACAGAAGGTGTCACTAAAAAAGCTCTTCATAAGCTCTTAAATCAATTCAATATTAATTCAGTTAAGGGTTTCTGCAGGTTTTATGAAGGACCATTTAAAGCTTTTAAGGATAAAGTAATGAAAATGTAAGAAATCAATTAAATGCAACAATACAACATGGTCTCTAAATTTAAATGTCTTGTATCATCAAGTGTAAATGCATTGCATTACTTTCTGATCACACTGCAAAAAGGTGATGTCCTTCTGCAGTATTTTGGTCTTGTTTTCTAGTGCAAATGTCTAAAGATTTTTATATCACAACGCATTTACCTAAGAAGGAAAATGACAAGAAGTCTTGTGTTCTGAGAAACTGGTCAAAATGAAATTGAGTTTATAATTAAAACAAGAAAAATATCTGCCAATGGGCTCAGAAAATTCTTAATTTAAAGGGACAAATGTTTTCATACCCCTTTGAAACTCACTGAATTTTGTTCAGTTTTTTTTTTTTACAAGACTTCATGTCTTCATTTTGCATCTCAAGTAAATTGATCTTGATTTAAGGATGTTTAGATATTTCTATTGGAAAACAAAAAGATAATTATTTTTTCGCAATGCATGCATAATTTAATGACTACATGAATTTAAAACTGATTTAAGATCTTTTTAGAATTTGTGGAAGGGCAAATTAAAACCTTTTTAAGAGCTGCAGAAACCCTGAATGTTATTTTGCTTTAAGAATTGTGTTTCCGAATTATTTTTTATTTTAAGATATGCCATTGTGTTCATAGTTTGTTGGTTTGTTTTTGGGCTTATTTTGTTTTCAGAATTGTCATTTGTTTTGCACAAAGTGTCCCAATTCTGAAGCAAACCTAACCCATCATGCATTGCTTCACTCAGTTTCATATTTTGAATATGGCTTTCAGACAACATATTCTCATTTTATTTGATACATTATAAAACAGAAGCATCACAGATGAGCATTATGTCAAGTGTCTGAGGATGAAACTGATTTGCGTGCATGTGCGTACAAACACTATTAACATTGGTTAATAGCAGTATAAAGCAATGAACAGCAACAGGAAAGGGTGGAAAGGATTAAATCAATGGTCAGACAAAGTTAGGACACTTCTACAGTCTGTACTCAGATCTCTACAGAGTTTGTGTGTCTATACTTTGACCTACCTACATTCCAGCTGGGGTTTAATGTCACAGGGTGGCTGGGTGGGATAATCAAACTCATCCCTAAAATCTAGAGGAACACTAAAGGGAACTCCAACATGGACAGGAGAGGAAATTATGCCTATAACAAAAGATCCTGCTTCACCTTCTGTTGGAGAAACAAAGACAAAGAGTGAGAATTTAACACGGCATCTAACAGGAGATGAGTTACTTCAGTCAAGCGTTATTTTAGCATCACTGAGACACTACTGTCATTATTATTCATATTAAAATTTTCATATTTTCCATTTTGATTTTAATTGTAGTTTAATTGTAAGTCATTTTCTTCAGTTTTTTTTATAAATGTCTGTTTTTTCCCCCAAGTTAGACTAATGAGAAACGTTTGCCTTTGCAACAAGTTAGTTTTATTACTAAAAACAAACATTTCAAGATGGACAGTTTACAGTTTATTACTAGTAACAAAAATGTTTTCTTTAGATTTAGTTAACTATAACAACCCTGCTTCACTCTTAAAACTAATTTTTTTTTAATTTAGCTATTTAAATGAATAGTTCATCCAAAAATGAAAATTCTGTCATTATTTATTCATGTTATTCAGAACGTGTGTGTTTTCATTGAATACACAAGAACAATTAAATTTTAGCAGCTTTTCCCATAAAATGACAGTTCATAGTGACCCAAACTGTAAAATTCTCCCCAAAACGCTCAAAATTATAATTTATTTTGCGGTTTTTATTTACCAACAAATATTTATTAAATTCAGGCTCTTATATACACGTTGCAGTCACTAAAAACTGAAAAAAATCAATGGGTTTCTGTTTGCAAATTTCAAGCAAGAAAGCAAGAAGGACACAGCATTTTTATACTTTAAACGTTTGTGCTTGTGACCCAAACTGTAAAATTCTCCCCAAAACGCTCAAAATTATAATCTATTTTGCGATTTTTATTTACCAACAAATATTTATCAAATTCAGGCTCTTATATACACGTTGCAGTCACTAAAAACTGAAAAAAATCAATGGGTTTCTGTTTGCAAATTTCAAGCAAGAAAGCAAGAAGGACACAGCATTTTTATACTTTAAACGTTTGTGCTATAGAAGCACACATTAACAATGTCAACTCAACTCGAATGCGATCACAGGTGGTCACAAAAAACACAGAAGACACTATACTTCCAGGAATAAACAGCTGACCTAATCACCTGCGAAGGATCTTAAAACAAGTTCTGAGTTCGCAGCTACATACTTGCATACTACTCTTACTATTTTTACAGTGAGAGTAGTATGCAGATCTGAATTCAGCACAGATGTGAACAGGGCCAGTGTGTTGGTTTGTTTTACCTTTAATGGAGAACTTGAGGGTGTGGTTGGGGAGTCTTTTTCCGGCCCATTCGCTGGCCGAGTTGTCACTCAGCATGGTCTGCAGATGCAGCGTGTACTTCCCAAGCTTACTGAGATTCTCTGGAAGTAAAAACACTCACTTAGTATTATATGAGATGTACAGCATACCCAAAAACGGTGCTAGTAAGTCCTCATTTCAAAAATAAAAACAAACAAACATAAAATGAGTCAAAACACTGACAGAGACTCAGCCACAGGAAAAAATTATTTTAATAAACAGTTTAGATGTAAAAATTGTTTATCAATAGATTACAGAAGAAAACTGACCAGAGACACTCTTTGAAAGTATATAATACAATTTGGCTATGAATTGAAAACAGACATTTTAAAATGCAATTGTATTAATCAATTTTATTTTAATTAAAAAATACACATTTTTTTTGTTTTGTTTTTTTGAAGCATTAATACTACAAAAAATGTTTTAAAAAGAAGCATATTTGAATCATGTACAAAATATTTAAACTCTAACAATGGTAAAATTCTACAAGATACATTGGTAACACTTTAAAATAAGGTCCAATTAGATCATGTTAGTTAATACATTACTAACAATGAGCAATACATTTGTTACAGCATTAATTAATCTTTGTTAATGTTAGTTCATGTTAGCTCAGGTACACTAAATAATATCAGACACAACTTTTGATTTTGAAAATGTATTAGTAAATGCTGAAACTGACATGAACTAAGATTAATAAAAGCCAAGTATTTTTATTGTTAGTTCATGTTAATTAATTACTTTTTCCCCAATCACCTGCCATATTTATGACCATCAGTGGTGCAAAGTAACAGCAGTGGACTTCTAGATCCACATTTATATATTTAATCCATATCTGCCTCTCTCTGCATGCAATGCTATAATTGGAGAGGGATTGTGGATTAGATGCATCTAAATGTCCACGAATGGACCTGGTATGGATCAAATCCAAGATTCGTCTGTTTTTCTTGATATCTCTGTTCATGTGCTTTCGTATTCACCAGTAGTACTTTGCCCTGCTGATGGTGAATTATGGCGAATCAATGGAATCGAATATGAACACATGTGATGATTCGCTGATTTTTACCCATGGGCTTGAACCAGTATTCCCACTTGGATGAATGAACACCAATGTGGGAGTTCGTCTGGACGTCCCCTTTAGGAGCTGAAGGAAGAAACAGATTAAAAAAAACTATGTCACAAGCATATCGTGCATAAACATTACAAAAATATATATGAACAATACTCATGTCATTGCATATATAAATATACACACATGCATACGAAACATACACATGGCATACAAAAAACATGATAAAATTATCATGCACTGACTACAAACAATAATGTAGTAAATGCAACTCACAGTGCCAGATGACTTTTAGCTCCATCAACAGTTTCTTAGTAGTGCCAGCCACGGGCAGCCGAGACATCGAGTCTCCTTTTTTGTTCAAAATCTCCACTTTAATTGGACCTGAACAAGAAGAGATGTATACTAGAGTATATAGGTCTGTAGTGTTGTTAGTACAAGATTAGATGAAGGAGCTGTTTTTGATGAGAGTATATTATGGGGGATTTTTTTAAATAATGTAATAAAGTTATGAGTTAAAGGAGTAGCTCAATTCCAGAACAAAAATTTACGGAGAATGTACTCACCCGCTTGTCATCCAAGATGTTCAAGTCTTTCTTGCTTCAGTCGTAAAGAAATTGTGTTTTTTGAGGAAAACATTTCAGGATTTCTCTCCATATAACGGACTTCTATGGTGCCCCTGAGTTTGAACTTCCAAAATGCAGTTTAAATGCAGCTTCAAAGAGCTCTAAACGATCCCAGCCGAGGAAGAAGGGTTTTATCTAGCGAAATGATCGGTTATTTTCCAAAAAAAAAAAAAAAAGTACAATTTAAATACTATTTTAACCTCTAAACTCTATGCATTCCGGTTCATGACAGTTAGGGCATGTCTAAAAATGCCCATCTCATTTTCTCCTACAACTTCAAAATGATCCTACATCGCTGCAGAAGCACCGACCCAGTGTTTACAAAGTGAACATGCAAAGAAGATCAAACGCCCTTTACAAAAAAAAAAAAAAAAAAGGGGTAAAACCGCGATGTAGGATGATTTTGAAGTTGGAGGAGAAAATGAGATGGGAGTTTTTAGACACACCCTAACTGTCATGAACCGGAATGCATAGAGTTTAGAGGTTAAAATAGTATTTAAATTGTAAATTTCTTTAGAAAATAACTGATCGTTTCACTAGATGAATCCCTTCTTCCTCGGCTGGGATCGTTTAGAGCTCTTTGAAGCTGCATTTAAACTGCATTTTGGAAGCTCAAACTCAGGGGCACCATAGAAGTCCATTATATGGAGAGAAATCCTGAAATGTTTTCCTCAAAAAACAATTTCTTTACGACTGAAGAAAGAAAGACAGCGGGTGAGTACATGATCTGTACATTTTTGTTCCGGAAGTGAACTACTCCTTTAATGTCTTCGGCCAATACCATATACGGTAAGTTTTGCACGGCAAGGTGTGTGTGAGTGAGTGAGTTTGTTTACCCATGGGTGTGCCAGCCGGTCGAGCTTCATTCTCAGCCCAGGCGTTTCCCTCAGGCCACGTAACCCTCAGCTGATCTGGAAGTCTGATCCCCCCCAAAAAATTGTAATTAAATCTCACACTGTGCTTAGTTATGTAGGCCTATAATTCATTCACTAAAAGAGGAGGGTACCTGGATAAGACTTTTTTATACTGAGTATCGTTGAAAATAACAGAATAAGCTAGGGCTATAAGATTTGAGGTAAAAATCTAATTGCGATTTTTCCTAATAAAAACTGTGTTTGCTTTTATGACTGCACAAAAGTGTGCTCATATCAATATGGCTACATAATAATAATAATTATTATACAATTTTATTAGTATTATATTTTTATTTAAAGGAACTCTCCACTTTTTTTGCGATTTTTCCTAATAAAAACTGTGTTTGCTTTTATGACTGCACAAAAGTGTGCTCATATCAATATGGCTACATAATAATAATAATTATTATAAAATTTTATTAGTATTACATTTTTATTTAAAGGAACTCTCCACTTTTTTTTCCCAACTCCCCTAGAGTTAAACAGTTGAGTTTTACCGTTTGCGAATCCATTCAGCCGATCTCCGGGTCTGGCGGTAGCACTTTTAGCTGTAGCTTAGCATAGATCATTGAATCTGATTAGACCGTTAGCATCTCGCTCAAAAATGACCAAAGAGTTTAGATATTTTTCCTATTTAAAACTTGACTCTTCTGTAGTTACATCGTGTACTATGACCGACGGAAAATTAAAAGTTGTGATTTTCTAGGCCGATATGGCTAGGAACTATACTCTCATTCCGGTGTAATAATCAAGGAACTTTGCTGCCGTACAATCGGTGCAGCAGGCGCAATGATAGTTACCTAGCTAGGGACTATTTTCAGGCGCTGCGTAATATCATTGCTCCTGCTGCACCCATGGTACAGCAGCAAAGTTCCTTGATTATTACACTGCAACTTTTACTTAGAACACGATGTAACTACAGACGAGTCAAGTTTTAAATAGGAAAAATATAGAAAATCTTTGGTCCTTTTTGAGCGAGATGCTAACGGTCTAATCAGATTCAATGATCTATGCTAAGCTAAGCTAAAAGTGCTACCGCCAGACCCGGAGATCGGCTGAACGGATTCGAAAACGGTAACACTCAACTCTTTAACTCTAGAGGAGTTGTAAAATGAGCCTATTTTCAAAAAAAGTGGAGTGTTCCTTTAGTTATAGTTCAGTATATATATAGCAGCAGTTTTATTTAACTATAAATTAAACTATAAATCTATGAAATTATAGTTTAATTAAATAATTCGTTTTATTTAGTTATTTATATACTTGTGTGTTATTAATGCATGTTGTTATTATTTATAAATTATATTATTGTTATTAAAAACAAATAATAACTACATAAAACAATAATTTCATTATGTATGGGAAGATGGTTGGTGTTCCCAAATGCACAATAAAGCTACCCAAACTAATTCTCTTTACTGTTAAGATGAAGTACAGATTACAGCGACAGGTCTTACTTTGCGAGCTCATCCTCGATTTTCTTCTTAATGTTTGCAGCTGCAGCAAGCCTGTCGATCTTAGAGATGGGAACGATCCTCAGCTCATCATACAACTCCTTTGGTTCCTATGAAAACACATCACAGAGACGTACACCGAAGTAAAAAGCCACAAAAGATTCAAAACATTGAGTTTATACACTTTCGACTAGAGATGCACAGTATATCGGCCACCATGTCGGTGTACACATTCTGGTTAGAACATAACTTAGTTTAAGTTCACTTGTGCATTTGCATCTTCTTGTGCATATATAAGTCGTAATATAATGTTTATGCTGTATAAATATCTGATTAATTTAATATAGCCTAATTAAGTCTCTAACAAATGCAGCTAAAACAGCAATATTAACTTAAAATGTTTCTTTTTAAAAAAAAAACATTGGTGCATTATTAATAATAACTACAACTTCTATCTTCCTCTCATTATTATCACCAGCAATATTAAAAAGTTTAATTCAAATAATTGCATTATTTCCGTGCAGAGGCTATTCCACCTGATTTATCCATGGCACATGCACTTTGATTGTTTATACGCAAGTAATGTTGTCCAATGACCTGTTTGCAGTATTTACGCGTCATGTTATTTATTTGTAAGGCAATGGATGTTTTTTTTTTTTTGGACTAAGTTGACAATAGGAGTGTAAAATTTATTTAAAAACTTACATTGGTTCAAACTAGGCTACTGTACTAGATATGTTTGATTTATGTTGAAGTGCTTGGGACGTGGCTTTTAATGGTGAGACTCTTGTTTTTGTAATCAGACTCTTAAAGATTATATAAAAATTGATTAAGATGTATTGACCAGCATATCAGTTACATGGAAGCTCGTTTCCGCCACTGAATAAAAAATAAAAAAAAGGTTATTTTGCAACTTTTTAGCTGACTTTTTTTCTCAGAATTGTGATATAAACTTGCAATTGCGAGAAAAACGTCAGAATTGTTGTCAATTCTAAGAACATATCAGTCTTTTTCCCCTCAAAAAAGTCAGAATTGCGAGATGTAAACTCGCAATTGTGAGAAAAGAAGTCAGAATTGTGAGAAAAAAATTCAGTGGCGGAAACGGGATATTTTACACTCTAATTGACTACTTTATTGAATAAGTATATATGTACACTTCAGTCCAATACATATTTGATGAGTAATGCAATTCCTCCTTTACCTTTTTGCATGGAACCAAATTTTTCTGCAGCAGTTTATTACTGCTACAAAAGAAGTGATATTGCCATCAACGGGGCATTAAAATCTAAATGCAACCATCAGATAATGAGATGCTCAAAAAAAAAAAAAAAAACGGTTGAGAAGAAAAGATGCATGTTAACCACAAAGGGCTTTGAGAATTAAGAATGGGAAAGTTACTCTGAAACAGTTGTGTAGGGAATGAGCCGCCCATTCCAGAAGCACTCAAAGATCGGCCGCTTGCCCCGAGCTTCAGAGTTCAGAATTACACAATCTTCATCCTCATCCTCTGACGGACCTAAAACACAAACACACAGGCCTATAAAGAAAAATATCTAGCGATGCACACTATTTCAGTGTTTTTCTGGAATCGGCTATTATTAGAGCATCTTTCTCATGTCTGCCATCAGTGTGGAATATACCTAATGCATATGGATCCACTGGGTATGTTTCTCGATCGTAGAGGAATGGGTGATAACGGATCAATCCCTCCACTAAGGAATCTCCGGCGCCGGTGGCTTTGAACTCAAATGTAGAAAAACTAGAGTTGATATACAGAGTCTGCATGTCATTCTCCACCTCCCTCAGATTCATCATACGCGGGACTCGAGGAGAGCGCTCGAGCAAAGTGATCTGAGAAATAAGAGAGAAAGAGCAAACAAGGACACTAAAAGACTGTATGATCAATGCATTTAGTGGCACAAATTCACACGCATCTGTACCTGAATGTCAATGTTGGAGACGTGGTCATTTATTCTAATTTTTTCCTGGTCGTTTCCATCAACTCCATGTATATAGTAATGGTAAGTATGCCTGAAATTATACAAACAGCATTAAATGGCACTTGACTGGCCTTAAAGGACCAGTTCACCCCAAAATGAAAATGAACTCACCCTCAAGATATGAGATGTAGATGAGTTTGTTGCTTCATCCGATTTGGAGAAATGTAGCATTACATCAGTGTCTCAGCAATGGATCCGCTGCAGTGAATGGGTGTCGTCAGAATGAAAGTCCAAATAAGACCAGTAATCCACAAGTAATCCACACCACTCCAGTCCATCAGTTCACATCTTGAGAAGTTAAATGATGTGGGTTTGAAAGAAACAAATCTAACATTAAGATCCAACAAGATGGACTGGATTGGTGTGGATTACTTGTGGATTAATGTGATGTTTTTATCAGCTGTTTGGACTCCCATTCTGACGGCACCCATTCACTGCAGAGCATCCATTGCTGAGACACTGATGCAATGCTACATTTCTCCAAATCTGATGAAGAAACAAACTCATCTACATCTTCGATGTAGGGTTAAAAGAATTGGCTCATAAAAGACATTCGGTTGCAAATCAGACGTCACAGGTCTTGCTGTGCTTATTGCTGTGTAAAGCAACCAATGATTAAACTATTAAAATAAACAAAAAATTTAGACTGAAAATTTTTTTTTATTTATTTATTTTTTTTTAAGAACCAGGATTCCCAAAGTCTTGGAAAACCGAGATATATGTTTGCTTTGTACACGTTAGTATCAGTCATGGAAATGAATAAAATCGTAAAATTCTATGGCCATTAATTTAGAACGTAGATACGTTTTTCTAACTAAGCCAAGCTCTAAAATGCTTTATTCAGTAGCAATTGTGATTCAAATAAATATGTTAAATGGTAACACAACGTTGAAATGATTTATTTGGTTAAATGCATAAATTACATGGAAACTGAAAATCTAATATATGAAATGTAGTTTTAAACGTTTAATTAGAATTACTGCAATTAAATTTCAATTTACAGATCCTGACAAAATATTAATGAAAACAAAACTAAGGTTGACGAGCCTTTAAATATCATTGCGAACAATGGGAGACAAAAAGGTTAACCACCATTTCCTAATAAATTTAATTCTACTCCTAGTAATATAACTCTTAACATTTTCAGCAAGAACTCTCATGCAAAATTTAGAATAAAAATAAATAAATAATAATAAATAAAAAAAATTGGCCTGATCTAAGGGAGAAAGAAGTGTGCATTTGAGACGTACGCCAACTCTCTGGTCCACAGACTGAAATTGTGTTTCAGGAAGGTGACGTGTTCCTGTTGGACTCGAGTGATGACAACTGCAGTAAAACTCTCCTTTCCTTCTTCTTCAGTCACAATGGACCGCAGAAACGGCTCCTCGCTTTCATTCACGTGTGAGTAATCGCCAGGCTGCAAAAGAAAACACACACGCATATGCATTTAAAAATAATATCCATGCTCCAACAATAGCTGCGTTTACATGGAGCCTAATAATCTGATCGTAATAGGACTAGAAGCACAATCGGAATAAAAAAAAGTCACATGTAACTAGGGCTGCACGATTAATCGAATGCTATTGTCATGCGCATTTTGTTAAAAAAGCTGGTTCTGTAATCAGCAGGAAATCATCATGTGCTTTCAGATGGAGCAGCATTTACTACACAGAGCTTCTACACAGAGCCACAGAGTTAACTGACAAGTTACGCAAAAAAAAATTGCAGACGATTTTATTGCGCGATTATGAAATCGAAGAAATTGTTCGCGATAATGACAGCTGTTTGCATAGCTTCTCAGTGAACTACGGCTCTGTGAAGTAAATGCTGCTCCATCTGAAAGCATGTGAAAATACCACATTTAATAACATAGTTTTACTCCAAACTCACTTCATAACGTCAGTCGAGTGTTTGAAATAAATCCTTCTGTGAGATGATGTGACTTCTTACACAGAATAAGGCACGCAACATATTTCATAGTATTTAAGCAGTGATAAAGGCATTGCATTATAAATTATAAAAATACTTTCTTTTAATGAAAATTAGAACTCAGATAAACTGTATATTGCCGTAGCCGGGTGTTTATTAGTCACGTTGAATCAATGAAAGCAGTTGAATCTTCTGTTTATTCAGCTGCAGCGATAGGCATTTTCTGGGTTTCTTCTGCGAGGCGTATTTGGCGTTTCAGAGCGAGAGCGCCCTCTGGCCTTTGGATGGAGATTTACTGCTGATCACAGAACCGTGCTTCACTGAAAGATACATGACCGTGCTTCACTGAAAGATATGACAATCGCAGCTTCTGTCGAATCGCAATCTCGATTTATCGTGCAGCCCTACATGTAACCATGTCAATCGGATTGGATTCGCCAGATCGGATTGTAAGGGGTGGTTTAATCCTCTTGTAATCCGAGAGGGCATGTAAACACTTGACCAGAAGCTTGTGACATATAAACACACATATCAACCCCATCACTTTATTTAGTGTTCATGTAAACAATACGTTCGGATTCGCCAATCAGAATTCATTCATTCCGACGGAAGCAAAAAGTGTCCATGTAAACGTAGCTAGTGACATGAGATTAACTGAATTTCCCTCACCTTCCTGTTTCTAATGAAGCCAGAGTAAATGACTTCCTTGTTCATCTGCTTGCGCTCAAAGTCTTCTTTAGACATGATAAATTCATGAACATCTGGAGAGCCTGCAGGTTTACTGATCATCTGGAACACACATTGAATTAAAAGAATAGTTCGATCACAACAGGGTTTCTGCAGGTTTTATGAAGGAGAGTTTTTAAAGACCTTTTTAACACCAAGTAAAAGAAATTAAGGACCCAATTAACTGGAACACAATCCGTTAATATGTTCTCTAAATGTAAACGTCTGGGGAGCAGAAAATGAGTCCTATTAGCAACTTACAAAAGATCTCCCAGGGAGACGCTGTGTGTTTCTAGGTGAAAGCAAAAGCACTTTATTTGGCCTTCCGAAAGTAGATGCATTTAGGAATCTTTAAGATTACTTACAACAGAACAGCAATGCATTTTATGGACGACCGTTTCGTGAACCTAGGAGAGGAGGTAATTCTGACTTTGCTATGACAATCTGGTGCTTCTGAATCAGCTACTGTTTTGTTATTAGTTTAAGTATTTGCTATTGACTGTTCAAATGCGGAGTTTTGCGCATCATGGGTGTGTGTGTGTGTGTGCGCGCGCGCGCGTGCGTGCATGCGTGTGTGAGAGAGTGAGCGAGAGCGAACGAGCGAGCACGAGAGAGAGAGAGAGAGAGACAGGGTCACATCACAGTGGAGTCAGCCGTCTTAACCGTGGCTTGTGTACTGCAAACACATAGCAGCTTCATCACTGTGTCTGTCACACGACTCTGTTCCCCTTTCGGGATCTGTCTTTACATTTATTTTGAAAGATGAAGCTCGCGATTATGGTAAGGGTACATAACCCAAAGAGCGCTTGCAGTGTTCGGCCAATCACAATGCACTGGGTCAGCTGGCCAATCAGAGCAGACTGCGCTTGTCTGAAGGAGGGACTTTGTAGAAAACGAAGCGTTTGAGAGAGGATCTACAATAATGTACAGTATTTGAAAAATAATGTGTTTTTTGAACATTAAAGCATGTCAACATATTCTGTTACACCAAATACACAAAATAATGATCTTTAAAAAAAGCATCATATGACCCCTTTAAGACTTTCTGTTCTGTTTGTACCAACGTGAGAATGAGTAAATGACTGTCCATGCAACCATTTACATGTTAAAATGCATTAACTATCAATCAGATGACAGACATCATTTAGTAGATTGTGTACAAAAGGTTTTTCAGCAATGTTTTGATAATTTGGACAATTTGTGTATCAAATACAATGCAGTAGGATTTATAAGGTTAATTTCCCATTGCTCACACAATTTCTATGTATTCTATGATGTTTTTCAATAGAAATATCTAAACAGTCTTGAATCCAGATACATTTAGGTCTACTTGAAACCCATAAGGCTCTTTAAGAACACAAATGAAGATACTTTTTAAATTCTCTCATCATTTTTATGCATTGAAAGTCTGTGCAATCAAACTTTATGAACCAAAAATGTGAAGACATTGTAAAAGTAAATCCATATGAATCAATGCTCTGAAATGCACTTCAAAGTAAGTGTTTACACTTTTACTCACTAGTTGGTTTTGCATATTGAGCTGGGTTAGAAGAAAGCACTTCTGCTTTAATTAAAAGTAACACAAATAAATGCAATAGATGTGTTACAAGTAGGGCTGTCAAAATGGCTGAAAAACTAAATTAGAATTTTTTTACTTAAATATCAAAATTCTAATTATATTCGAATTTAAAATGTATAATTTCAATTAGGGTGAAGAAAAGCTTTTGGCTTCTCTTCTGAGGACACAAGTAAAATATTACTAATGCACGTTTATTCAAAGTGCATAACGTTTAAAATAATGCTTATAAACCAAAGTTGCTTAAACAACTATAAACAAAACAGCATCATGCATGTATGCATAGTTTAATACAAAAGGTCGAAAGCCAATCACACAGATTACATTTTTCATTTAAAAACACGAGTTGCAGTGGGATGGGGAAAAAACCCAGCCATAAAGTCTCAAGATATGTTTTTTCAAAGTTGAACTTGCATTAATTTTACATGGCTTTCTAAACATGCGGCTCTTTTGTGCGAGACGCGAGTGCAAAGGTGATAGATGTCCCTCTAGAAAATGCGTGAAATATGCGTTCTGTGTGAACGGCTTGGTTTCAGTTTTGACGTAAACAAGATCTTCTCCGCATTGATGTTCTCTTTTTCCGCAATATTTGTAATTAACAATGCAGCAGCGTCGCATCTAGTAGCTTCAACTGGATAGACTAACAAAAACATTCAAATGCAACGACACTTACATCGTCATCGCATCACGTGCACCACTAATAAGGCTGCCTGCTTCTTAACGCACACCTAAAATTCGAATGCAAGGTTTTTTTTTTTTAATTAGACGAATATTCGAAATTCGAATTTTTTTTTTGACAGCCCTAGTTACAAGTGTGACATTTGTTAAACAAAAGTGAACACACTGCGTGCAAACATACTCGGACAGACTGGCCGATGTAAAACACAGCCTGTTTGCCTCCGACTCCAAAATAAGAGATGTCACTGTTCAGACTGCGCGGAACTGGATCCGGCCGCACGTAACCGGTTTCTTCACTACATCAACAACAAAGAAGAGGAAGACAGCTGACAGTTTTATCAAAACAAGCTCCATAAGACCATTTATATAGGCATGAGACAATCAGTACTGTTCAGCTAGATATTATTTCACATTTTTGACAAGTGTAGTCAAACGATTAATCGCGATTAATCGCATACAAAATAAAAGTTTTTGTTTGCATAATATATGTGTGCGTACGGTGTATATTTATTATGTAGATGGGTCAAAGACATTAAGATGTCCGCATCAAAAGAAATGTACAAAAGTGATTTTATGTCCATAGAAAGCACATTAAATGTAAGTAAAGTGTTTACTTTTTGGAGAAAAGTAAGTTTTTGGAGAATAAAAATGTCAAAATTTGGTTGAAATAATGTTACATTGTCATTCAGTGTAACACAATATTTATGTAAAAATTCAAACAACATGCTTATTCTGACGTGTACATATTAAAATATATGAAAGAATAAGGGAGCATATTAAATTTGATTGTGTTTTAAATTAGTAAAAAATTCTTACTGACAACTGGGCAAAATCTAGGATAGTGGCACATTTTCTATTTATTTTTTGCTCCGAAAAACAAAAACAAAATTGCAATTAAATTATACAAAATTTGTTGTTGTTTTTCCTAAAAAAAATTCTAAGCAGTATTACACTTATTGTTTTTATGCTTAAACCCTTTTTCGTCTTTGACCCACATATAAATACACACATACAGTATATATTTTGAAAATATTTACATGTCTATATTTATATTGATATAATTTATATTATAAATAAATATATTTAATATATAAGCATAATATATTTTTCGAAATATATACATGCATGTGTGTGCATTTATATATACATAAGAAATATATACAGCACACATACATATATTATGTAAAAAAAAATAATAATAAAAAAAACTTTAATCGCTTGACAGCACTATTTTTGACTCATAATCTTCACTGCATGATGAGCATGACCAGAATTATGCATTGTTTTGCAGTGGCTAAATGCATTTCATAATACAATAGCCCAGGGAAGAAAAGGCACAGGTTTTCTGAAGAGCACACCTCTTCATGCCGTTTTCTCGTATAAACTTGGACAGACGGTAAACGGCCCAGTTGTTCAGCTGTTTAGATGTCATTCCACAGCCGTTATCCATCACCACAACAGCAGGTCCTCCCTGAGACTCATCAAACTGCTGGAAAACGCAGAGAGAGAACAACATCCAGTTCACGGAGACTAATAGCTGCTCAATAAGTGTCACAAAAACTACTGCTTGCCCATGACAACGCACTGAATGCATTCGTTTTTTTTCGTTATTTTTCTCAGATGACTATAAAATGTGATATTTTTATATTGCAAAATGAAAATGCATGCAAAATGCATTAGCATGATCAGCATCAAACCATGAGCTAACTAGACAAATAACATTTTAGACAGCATAACCACAGTTTGATTTTGGCAAAATCTAAAAACTGCAAGCATACCTTGCAAAAAAGAAACCTTGCTCAATGAAAAGATGTCAAAGGGAAATTATAATTTTATATATAACTAGCCCATAAAATTACAAAAATAGTTCAATCTAATTACATATGACATAATTCACCTCAATATTTATATGCTATATAGACATATAACAGCCTTATAATATATGCTTGTAGGGCTGATTATAAACTAAATTACAGTCATTTTAGTTCGGCAAGTGAGGCATGATGGTGGTTCTTCACCTTTTAATAAATGTGACCCTGGACCACAAAACCCGTCATAAGGGTAAATTTTTCGAAATTGAGATGCATACATCATCTGAAGCTGAATAAATAATATTTCCATTGATGTATGGTTTGTTAGGATAGGACAATATTTGACCGAGATACAACTATTTGAAAATCTGGAATCTGAGGGTGCAAAAAAATCTGAATATTGAGAAAATCTCCTTTAAGGTTGTCCAAATGAAGTTCTTAGCAATGCATATTACTAATCAAAAATTAAGTTTTGATATATTTACAGTAGGAAATTTACTAAATATCTTCATGCAACATGATCCTTACTTAATATCCTAATGATTTTTGGCATAAAATAAATTTTGACCCATACAATGTATTGTTGGCTATTGCTACAAATATCCCCCAGCGACTTAAGACTGCTTTTGTGCTCCAGGGTCACATATATATGCATATATATCAATGACATTGAGACAGTTCACAAGGGTTTGTAATAAAGACAAGGTTGAATTCTCACCAATCTGATTTCAATTCTCCTGATTCCTGAGTTTCTTGCTGTGGCTGACAGCGCGTTATCGATGAGCTCAGCGAAGGCATAGGCTGTAACACAACAGAAAGAGAAACTGACATGGTGTTCAAGCGCGGCAGCATGGTAGAGGTGAGCGTGCAAACTTACGCAGCGCCTTCTGTCCTTCACTAGCGTAGTACTCGTACATGCCACACTGCACCAGAGTATGGTAGTGCGGCAAAAACTCGATCCGCTCTTCAGTCGCCGCAGTCAGCTTCTGATTCGCAGACTCAAACAGGTGCAAGGTTTTCCCATCCACCAGCTCCTCTGTAGCATCAAAACACACAAATCCACATCAGTACATCAGTTAAACCCTTCAGAACGAGTGACAGGACTGAAAACTGTCTTTACTGCTCTTGCTTTACAACTTAAAACTTCAAATACAATTTAAGTTTCAAATCATTAATCATTTAAAATCATTGAATACATTTAAAAACTGTAAACAAATAAAATGACATATGTAAATAAATCATATTTTATTTACTATTTGCAGTTTTGTAATATAAAATATGTAAAATATATGAAATATTTAAAAATAGATTGAAAAACTGTAAATAAAATCAACTAAGTAAATTTAATATTTTTATATATAAAAATACTTAATGTACAACTTTTAGAGCTTTTATAGTAAAAGTTAAAAAAAATACTATTTTTTTAATTTTCATATGCATAACTGCCAACAACAAAATGAACAATGTGTCAATATTTTCACTTTTTAAATAAAATGTAACAGTTTCGCTTTTGAAATCAAATTGATTTATATTTTATTTATATTTAAAAATAACCAAATGAACATGCATGCAAATTTTACAAATATTTATTACTTTTTTGTTTTGAAAAAAAAAAACGAAAATAGATGAGTAAATGAATATAATACTACATTTTAAAAACCTTCAGAGCTCCTACTGTAAAAAAATAAAAATAATACATTAAGCACTACTGTTTTTACATTTTTTAAATGTTAAACTGTAAACAACAAACTACAGCACAGAACATAGATACATAAAGTTTTTTTGTATAAAAAAAACAATTTTAAATCACAATAAAAATATACTTAAAAACTAACAAAGCGACCAAAAAATTAAAACGACAATGTAAACAGACAAGTTAATAAATGCCACATTTAATTTTTCAAAATAAATGTTTTGAGCTCTTACTGTAAAGTTCTGCGTCGATCTCTCCTCGGTCCGTCGTGCTGATAACAAAAGTCTCGTTTGTCGACAGTGAAAACTCCTAAAATGAAAATAAACCCATATGGTTTACCATAGAGATGTTATTTTACCCTGGTAAACAGGGCGGTGTTACCTGCAGAGATGCAAACAGGTAAAGCACATGCTGCACACGGAATTTCTTTTAAAGATATTTGTTTTACATGCTCATTTGTAGTTACTTTAAGGCATTTTTAAAAATATTTTTTATTCTTATATGTCCAAAGCTGTAATTTTTCACACACACACACACACACACACACACACACACACACAAAAATCTTGTTGCAACATTTAAAAAAACTCAAGATTGAATATTTGTGACCCTGGAGCACAAAAGCAGTGTTGAGTCGCTGGGGGATATTTGTAGCAATAGCCAACAATACAT